ACAAAGATGCTCAAAAAAATGCTCAACATTGAAAGACTTGTCTTTTCTTGCTCCATGTCCTCATGTCCAGCGCTCTGAAGCGGATCATGGCAAAGAGACCTTTTGTCATCTCTCGCTCCACCTTCCCCAGTCAGGGGATGTACTCTGGTCACTGGCTGGGAGACAACAGGAGCCAATGGAAGGACCTGTACACATCTATAGCAGGTTAGATCACTTAGACGCATGTATTACTCAGTATACAGCCAACGGCCAAACTAAATTATTGCAGCTTTTAATTGATTTTATTGGCATGTTGTTCAACAGAATGTAACCTATTTAGAGGTTTTTATGACAGATTTATGTTGTTGTATAACTGCTAATTTGAGGGTTGTGCAGTGGCAGTTACACATTTATTGCACACACTACTGTAAATATTCTGTCAACTTCAGTAAAATGAGGAGGACCAGTAACACCCAAGCTGATTTCTTAAAAATGTGTATGAGATTTTTAGTTTACTAGTTAAATAATGGTTCCCTGTCTCAGATTCTCTGCTTGTCCTCCCACCTGTCTTTTGTCTCCTTCAGGTATGTTGACCTTTAACCTTCTGGGCATCCCATTGGTGGGAGCAGATATCTGTGGCTTCAGTGAGGAGCCACAGGAGGAGCTCTGTGTCCGCTGGACGCAGCTGGGAGCTTTCTATCCCTTCACACGCAACCACAACGCCATCGACATGAAGGTAAGATCTTACCATCACTGCTCCAACGTCCCCATAAACCACAATGAATAAATACACTCAGGAGCTATTAAAGCACTTTAGTACCAACTTAATTATGTTATGCCTACACGGCAATACATCTGTTTCTGATTCTGATTATGCTTTATTTAGATTCCTGTGGTCTGTCCTTCACTTCTCTGTAGAAATCTAACTTTTTATTTTGTTTGGTTTGTTTATTTTACAGCCTCAAGACCCAACAGCTTTCAGCCCTCTGGCTCGTACAGCCATGAAGCAAGCTCTGCTGCTGCGTTATTCTCTCTTCCCTGTCCTCTACACTCTCTTCCATCATGCACACTTACATGGACACACTGTTGCACGACCGTTAATGTTTGAGTAAGTAATGCTGTTCTCTTGATCTAGTTGTTATTTTGGCTGTACTGCGAGGGGCTTTACCTTGCTGTATGCATCCTGTATTAACTCAAAAGGTTCCCAAAAGATGTGAGAACTTATGGGATTGACAAACAGTTCCTCTGGGGGAAGAGTTTATTGGTGACACCGGTACTGGATCCTGAAGTCGACTATGTGGACGGTTACTTCCCAGAGGGCCTGTGGTATGACTACTACACGGTAAGACCCCACACTCTCACTATCAACATAGCACACACAGAGTACACAGTGTTATATGAGTCTGGAACAACATGGTGTAAACAGCATACTGTACTAACAATCTGGCCACATGTGCTCCTCTACCTCCCAGGGCATCTCTGTGCACAGTAAGGGCGAAGAACTTCCACTCCATGCACCTCTAGATAAGATCAACCTGCATTTGCGTGAGGGCTCTGTTACACCAACACAGGTAAACACAGGTTTCTTTGTTCAATTAACATTGTTGCTGTTCTTATCTTATCTGACGTTATCTTATATATCTTGACATCCTTGATGTTTTTTGGGATAACTAAATATTTGTCACAGCTGAAATATTCGTGGACATATGCGCAACCTACAGTCAGTAGTTTCCAATCTCATATATGTTTCTCTTTGTCTCTGTGTATGTGTGTACAGGTGCCCAACTTGACCCTGTCGGTAAGCAGCGGTCAGCCTCTCCATCTGGTCTCGGCTCTCTCTGATGATGGTTCAGCCAGTGGAGATCTGTACTGGGACGACGGAGAGAGCATCGACAGCTACGAGACCAATCAGTACTCCTACATCATCTTCAATGTGGCTCAGGTACTCACACTCAACTAGTTTTGCCTTAAAAGCAAAGAAAACATCCACCCTCAGTATCTGCCTTCTAGCCTGCTTTGTCTGATTACCCACATTTCAGAAAAAACCTCTTCAAACTGTGTCTTAACTTGTGATTCAGTTTAAGGTTATGCGTGTAGATGAAGTCAGAAAGTGAGAATTGCCTCTTCTACTCAACAACAACATCCCTTGTAGCAGCTGTGCATCCTGGCCTACTGGGGCTGAGGTCTCATCCATGGAGTTCACCAAATGTTGTTAGAAAACTGCATGTTTTAGGTTCTGACATTGGCCGTTGATGTTGAAATAACTGAAAATCTTTAATCTTTCAAACTGATTTTTTGCCACACTGCAAATAATTTCATTATTCTCTCTTTCCCCTGTAAGAGAAGTGACACAAGACAGAGCAATAATTTAAAGCAGTATTAAATAATTATGATTGGCAGCAAATGTGATAGCATTTATGTTTGTATCCGGCAGACACGCGGTGTGAGCAAACAGTGGACTATTTACCCATCCAGCAGACACGAATGCATTAGTTAATTATTAATTCTGAGTAATGTTTCTGGCCACCGGATCCAATATTTACTCTGCTTCTAGTTCTGTTTTTGGTCTCAACCAGCTCCTGAAGGAAATATCTGGCTCGGTTAATTTCTCCACTATGTTCACCTGCTGGTCACTAACTTTGTCTGGTAGTTATTGCGCGGTGGGTTTATCAGCTGTGAGAGTGTACCAAAACAGTCTTGGGATGTAAAACCACTGACAACTGCCTCATTTTAATATAAAAATATTGAGTAGTGCAGTTTTAATGTCTAGTTTTTAAGCAACATTAATTCAAACCGTCTGCTTATTTTGTAGAACGTGATGACATCAGAGGTTCTCCATAGCAACGTGGAGGCCACATACATCACCGTGGAGACTGCCTCCTTCTACGGTGTGAAGCAGAAGCCAAGCAGAGTGCTGGTGAACTCCCAAGATGCAGGGTTCACCTACAATATCAACCAGGTGAGGTCAGGGGCCAGGGGTACTATTGTTGAGCCTAATGTTGATGGCGTAGGATATTAGGATTATTATTTTCCCCCACGTTAACATGTAAGCAGTAATTAAATGTTGTAGTCAGCTGATGGGGAGATCAGTTTAATTGCTTCTATATATCTTTTGGTAGTTATAAAGTTTTATAACCTGACCATATTTTTTTTTATATAAAATAAAATCTTATGTAAAATCTGTAAAGTAACTAGTAACTATAGCTGTGAAATAAATGCAATGGAGTAAAAAGTACATTATTTATCTCTGAAACATAGTAGAAGTATAAACATACATAAAATGGGAATGCAAAAAAAATCAGTTTTTGTAAGTGTGTTTGTACTGTGTGATTTGCAGTTTTAATACAAAGTTCACCTCATTACAGTAGGCGAATTTCATAAAATGTATTATTTTTTCAAATTAAAAGCATGTCCAGTGTAACTTAAAGGTATTACAGAGCCTCTTGCTACTTCCTCTGCAGTACATGAGTTGTGTAGTTTTCTAGTGTTTTATGGAGTTTATCAGAATGAAGAAATGCTTTGTGCTGAAATGTTTTCTTGCCTCTCTTTGCAGGTTTTAACAGTTGCAGATCTTGGTCTCAACCTCAGTCAGAACTTCACCATCAGCTGGATGTAATGAATCAGATGGTTTTTAGCGTTTGGTTTTATTTGCTGTTGGATATTAGAGCCACTAGCTGGCACACAGTTGCAGGACAGTGATGCTCCTTTGTGTTTAGGCTCTGTTCTCCAGCACACTGGATGTAAAAGGGAACAATAACTGAGGTTAAAGTGTGAATTTTCCACTTTAAAGTAGTTCACATTCGTATTGGTTGAACAGTTTAGCACTCTTAGACCTTTTTATCCCAGAGGACTGTGATTCCAAACTGTTTCCCTGATGTGGTTGCAAAATCCCTCAAATTAAAGCGTCAGCACTTTAACCTCATGGTCATTGTTTCGTTTCATATCTAATGTGCTGAGACGAAACAAATATACGCTAAACAGAAAAGACAAAGCATAGGTACTCTGGAGTGAGTGAGGTCAAGTTTGTGTTAATCATATTTATAGTGCGACGTTAAAAAGAAAGGGGGACTAAAGCTTTTTTTGGTGTACAGAAACACATGAAAGCATCTGAAACAACAATACGCAATCACTGACCTACAGTTGTCTGGACAATGCTTTAAATATCTGTGTGGAATATTTAATGTTCTAATAACTTTAACTGACTTTAACAAAAAGCTTGGCTTGGCCTCGGTACCTTTTCTTTTTTTTAAGTTTTATTTTTAGGTCATAAATCAAATCTGTGTTTTTTTAATTCTCATCAGCAGAAAGATGACGTGCAATAAGTGAAAGAGATGTAAAATATTGTGCTTGAATGCTTTTACAGCCTATTTTTGCACTAATTAGTGTACTGCAGTATTGTAAAGGTAGATACAGGTGCCTTATGATTCCTGTTTCTGTGTTTTTGAGCGTCTCTGGGTTTGTTCCAGATAATTAATTGTCCAGCGTTATACTGTAAGCACTGAAGATCATAGTACTGCTATGCACGAGGATTACTGCATTAACTGCATAACTACAGTATACTAAATCAGCCATAAGTGTTCTGCAAACATTCTGCTGTGAATCTTCTCAGACTTCTGATGGCAGAATCCTGCTTAAATTTGACCTTAATGCTGTGAAAATCTGATTTGAATTTATAGTCTTTCTCACAGAACACTAACTGTGAAAAGCTTTCACCTTTTTTAAAAGCAACTTTAGAATACTAGAATAATTTGTTTAAGAAACCTTCAATGCTTGTGTGATGTAAAGAAAAACTACACCAAAATATTTTTAAGCATGTAAAGACATCAATACAGAGTATATTTTACTGTCATTTGTGTTAAAGTAACTGAAATTGTGACTAAATATTTGCAGCATTTTATGATGAATTCTTGTGGTCGATTTTCTTTTTGTGTGTAATTGCTTAAATTTAATTATATGAACAATATGAAAACTACTTGAGTTGTACTGGATCTTTTTTCTATGTTATGATCCTTTGGGGCAGCAACAGGTAAAGACAATGGTAATTTGGTGATTCCAAAATGTCTTGACCCCAAATTCAAGGCAGAAATTTCATTAAACTTCGTGATGAACAGATTTCGTTTGAATGAATGCTATTTTAATCTGAGGTGCTGAAGCACATTTGCCACTAGAGGACACACTTTCTCAATGCCGTGGAGATTGTTGGTCTTATTCCTCACAACAGATACTGTTGTTTCCCCAAAAGATGATTTTCCACATTTATCTGTTTTCAGTTATCCTTGAACAAATTATTTAAGCCACATACGAAGATTAAGGTTAACAGACAGCTTTATTATTAATAGAATAATGTTGAAATATAGCCGTCTGTATCTTTTAATACCTGTTGTGCTAGAGTGAATTACGACCTTTGTAGACTATATGGCTGGTTAATATTTACCTTTATCTATTTTAGTACAGTTGCAGTTGGAGCCATTAACAAGGTTGGAATCCTTGTGTGTGTTGGCTCAAATTAACAAACTCATATCTAATATTTTCCTTATTTTTCTTTTAAATGCATCAAATATTCCTCCAGTATTCTTTCCAGCTGAAAGATTCTAACTTTTTTTTTTTCATCACCTCCTCTTCTTTCTCTTTCTTCTCTGTCAGTGTTTTCCTTTAATCAGCCCTCCATCCCTCTGCAGCCTCTCTATCTCTCTGTGTTTTTACTGTCTGCCATTTGAAACCCAGTGCTTATGTAGATAGCGGATTCTCAGGATGTCGGTCATTAAGATACACAGGGTCATCTGAGGACTAAATTAAATTAGCTTGTCTCTTTAAAAATGGAAATAAACAATCTCTATAGTATGTGCTGCTCCCTGTAGAAACTAGCCAGAGAACAAGATGTAAACTGAAAGAAGTGCTGAAGCAAAGCCAAAACTCTGACTGGATCTCATGAGTCATGACACCAAACAAGTACATGATTGTCCTCAGTGCACCCACACACACACACAAACACACACACACACAGACAAACATCAGCTTCAGAAAGTGAAAGCAAACGACTTGTCCTGTATTCTCCTCTGATAGCAAGGTTGAGTTATCCTGATAGATTTGCGATAGACATGTTTTTATTGGCTCTGTGCAAACGTTCACAGGCTAACTGTTTCCAGATGGCAGTTTGTGGAGGGCACATATATCATTCAACAGAGGGGGAGGAGAGAAAGAGCGGAGAGAGAGAAAGAGCAGCAGGGGTCTGTCAAAAGCATTCTGCTCTACTGACGAGGGCATTTCCTGTCTGGATTTGGGAGGATTAACTATTTGTGTGTGGGGGGTGTTTGTATGGTCGGCATGTGGAGAGGGGGACAAAGTACGGGACTTCACAGGACTTTTGGGGCTTTCTGCACATGTTTGATTTGAATAACCATGATTGTAATGCATGTTAGGAAAGGAATGAAAGTGGATATATAAAAGCAAGAAGTGATTTATTGTCAGGGTTTACACATTTCTGAGAAAAAAAAAAACATTGTTGCCAAATAGTGTTTAGATCTGGGCCTTCTGAGGTTGCTTGTTTTGTCCAGTTGAGTCCTATTTATGTAGCTTATTTCATACTGAAAGCATTCAATCTAATTTTAATCATTTTTGACAGATGGTTATTGTGCAAGAGAGTCTTGGGGGTCATAATAAAGCTAAATGTGGCTTCATTGTTCAATTGTTTTTACTTTTCTGTTTTTTTTTTTTTTACTTGACTCATAAACAGTACAACAACACAAACTGCAGCTCCTTAAAGTGTGTGTTCCCTGTTTCTGTATTTACTCCATCGAGATCACCAGTTTTGTGAAGTCAACTCCTTTTTTGCTATCCTCACATCTTGGAGAATCAGTTAGGATTTGGTTTTGGGTTTGTGATTAGAGTTAGATTTTGGTAATGATTAAGTGAAGAAATGTCGTACATGGATGTCACGTATTTTTTTTAAACTTCAAAAAAGAAAAGATTAAACTCTTTAGGGCAGGTACTTTGAGCTAAATGGTAGTGTCAGCCTGCTTATATGCTCACAGACAACGCTAGAAGAGAAGTGTGAGCTCATCCAGGCACAAATATTCAGGTGTAGGATAAATATTAATTTAATAAATAAATATTTATTTGGAGCCCATCTGTGTGCAGACTTTTTCACAGTGACGATGCTAACATGCTCACAATCACAGTTAACATTTGCTAGTTAGCAATAGCTGAAGCTGATGGGAATGTGATTCTTTTTGTAGGTATTTTGCTAAAAACCAGCTTATTTAGTCCTTCATTAGTCTGTATTTGTTCATTTGAATTTGGTCTTTGTCAAAGTTGTTGCAAGGTCTGCTACTCCATGACATTGCTAGTCAAACATCTACCCTGTTATCAGCTTTACTTTTTTTACTTTCCCTTTCTTTTGTTTCATATCTGCTTTACCATCATACTAGTGTGTGTATGTGTGTGTGTGTCTGCTCTTAATCATTGTCTATTTATTACAGAGTCCAGTTCTGGCTTGAAAGTCCAGTAACTTCCCCACAACTGACAGATTCCAATGATGGTCTGAAGCTTTATTCCGTTATCGATGATTTAAGTGGTGTCCATTTAACTTTAGCATCTGGCAAGACAAACAACATCTGACTATCAATGAAATGACGGCCATGTGACCGGCGTAAATATAGAAAAACCAGTTTGACCAGTTTGAGAGAGAAAAATCATTATTCATGACATGTAGTCATGGGATTAAAAATGTCATATGAAAGAAGTTCATGCAGAGGCTCAACCATGACTAATACAATCATGTCAATCTAGAAAAAAAAAACAGGAAGCGTATCTCTCCACCAAGGCTGCACATTGTTTTAATTTAACTACCAAACATATCTCCAAGTTTCAATTGAACTGCGTGATGGAATAATCACTTATCTAACTGCAGCTGTGATTTTTGGTGAATACCTGAATCATGTCATAGACATTTTTAAAGGATTTCATCAGCTGTGCAACATTTAAAGTGAAGCTGAGCAACACTGACCTTTTCTGGTTGAAGGTTTGGCCACACCCAACAGTGATATCACAGTGTACTGAACACACTCAAGAGTGCACGTCTACATCACTGCAGTGAGGTGCGAATTTTCAACCAGTGAAGATGCATTTTAAGGTGAATCAGAGTAATTTTCTATCACCATAAATGTGTTATGGGTCCAACATTCACTCTCTTTTAGCTTTGTTTTAGTTTCCATCAACTCCTGAGAAAAACATCTGACTCTTTAGCAGCTAAATTATGTTTACCACCTTTTTTTCTGCTGTTTGGTGCTGGGCAGGTAGTGTATAGTGGATGTCTGAGACCTTTATTGCTTAAAACTGGAAATAGTTGATCAGAATAAAGAGAATGAACCAAAACAGTAAAAAAAGAAGCTGAAAGACGCTAAAAAGCTGTAGAGGTAAGAGGAACTTCAGAATTTGGTGATAATTTTTTAGCACTACGAGTTATCCCTTCCACATACACACAGTAATTTGATCCATTGCTAATATGTAATGTTGATTAATGCAGCTTTAAAGTGAACTAGCGCCACCTACAGGCAAATTGCATGAACTAGGGCTGCTTAATGTTTTGATGTTAAAACCTGTGAATTTAGTGAAAATGAGCTCAAATTTGAAGAAGGAATGGTGGAAAACAACATTACATTGTGGAAACTTCTGTTGGCGGGAATTTGTGAGATCTATATAATAGATACATGTTTGTGATGATTTATGAATGACCACATGGTGGCGCTATCTGCACCAGTAACTATAACTTGTTTATTTCTCCCAAGGCCTTAGTTTCGACTGGTTTTCATTGAACTCTCCAGAGAGGGAAGTAAAGTATTTGCAAGATTGAATCAGCAAAACAAAGCCTCTCTCTCGCTGTCGGCCTGCTGCATTATGAACAGAGCATGTGTGCAGGTGTCAGGTAACTAGTGAACAGACACCACCCGCCTCCTTCAACACACCCAGCTGACAGGACAGGACAGGCTGACTTACACAAGCAACAACCACACCTGGTTAACTGGTTTCACATTTTATCCTCCATTTACTAAAATAGCTCCATTATAATCCTTAAACAAATATCTTCCTGTAAAAGCAGCAAATAGAAATATGACACAAACATGTTAGAGTAACTATTGTTGAGTTAATTTTGTACTTAAGAGGTGATTTTATTTAGCAGGGCAGCAGAGGACCTGTACCCTCGGTTTTGTTTCTGGGTATTTGAGGGTTTTTGAGGAGTTTACACACAACATAATTGCACACAAATTACATGTGGTGGGGTTTTTAAGGGTAGCTGACTCTGGTATTCTTTGTGGTATATGTTTAGCATCTTAAATGTGCCAAAATAAAAGAGGATTATAAGCCATTCCTGGTAATCTGGAGAATTCTCTGGAGCAGCATTTACACCATCATATAGTGAGATATAATATAGCAGTTAAATTAAAAATATATGGACACCCTGGTAGCTCACCTGGTCACTGTACAAGTGTCATTATCAAATAAAGGCAATAAAAGCCCAACAAATATTTAAAAATATAATCATGGGCGGAGCAGGAGGGGTGGCCTCTGGGGCTCTGGCCCCCAATGTTTTCTCAAAAGCCTAAAATCTTTCAGACTTTAAAATTGGCTTGAACGTAATTTCAAAAATCAAATTAACAAGTTCTATTACTGGGGAAGTATCGCCATCTATTACAGGTCCAACCTGTCTTGTGTGTGTTTCACTCAGTCGCGTCACCTCAGTGAGGAAGCTCGCTAACCATCTTATGGACTATGGACATGAGGTTTTTCATGAGAAGTCAACATCAACTATTTATTGCCTCTTTTTAGACATCGGGAGTGAAAATGAGTCATCTTCAACATTTGTAGTGTTATGGTTTCAGGATGATGAAGACAGCTGGAAAACAATTAGAAACAAAATCAAATGTTTTTCTCTGTGCAACTATCCCACATTTTTCCCAAATGATGTACAGAATTTGTGTTTTGTTTTCTGAAATGATTTTAAAAGAATAATGCATATAGCTTTCATAAATAGGACCCCTGGAGCCCCCCCATAGGTTTGGGCTATACAACATCCAGCTCCGCCCCTGTATAGAATATAAAAACTTTTCTTTTCTTTTGTTTTTGGTGGCTATAGTTACAAACTTTCTCGAGTAATTTAGACTCATAATCTCATAAAATCTTATCTATGGCCCTGTGAGTACACACACACACACAAACACACACACACACACACGGGTTAAGAGAAACACAGAGGCGGACTGAACTCCACCCATGTCGCGTCACTACCGACCTTTCACAGGTGTCACATCCACTTTCTTTCCACCTTCTCATTCGAGAAAAGGTGATTCTCACACACACTCACACACACTCACACACAGGCCCTGCTGTCTGTCACTTCCCGGATCCAGCGGGTTCAAGCTGCTGTGGAAACTTTCACAAGTTTGCTGTTGGAGGAAGGAGGGAGAGGTGGGGGGAGAGAGATCTTTGAGCCTACAGCCGCGCTGCTGCTCTCACACACGGATCAGTTCGGGATCTGAGCTCCGGGATGTCGGCCGTGAAGGCGCTGCAGCAGTGGTGCCGGGTCCGGTGTGAGGGCTACCGGGATGTGTCCATCACCAACATGACCACGTCCTTCAGGGACGGCTTGGCTTTCTGCGCCCTCATTCACAAACACAGACCCGATCTCATGTAAGTACTGAAACCAGCAGACTGGATGGACAACAACGCAGGGACTGAGAGAAGTGTTTGGAGTTTCAGATTTTTATAAAACACACCATGTCAGTGGTGTTAATATCCAGGATGTGAAGTGTTTAGAGAAGAATGAGTCTGTTGGTTTTACTTCCCTGCGTTAAGTTTCAGCGGTTCTTTGATTAAAGGGAACAAGCTTCAGCTTTAATGGGTCTGTAGGAAAAGCAGGAGCAGGAGCTGTGGACTGTGGAGCTCAATGTGCAACCACACTGGCCCCCCCAGCAGGTCTGCAGGGAGGGCCACTGAAGCTTATTATAGTTCAATAAAACTGAACTAAAACTAAAGTGTGGGAAAGCATTTTAGTTAACTGAAAGTCAAATAAAAACTAGACTAGTGTACTTACAAAACTGAATAAGATAAAGTGAAAATATACAAGAAATGTCTTTTAGTTTTTGGTCTTTTGTCAGATTGTCAGAGAACAAGTTTAAAACTAACTAATAAAAACTAATGAACTAATAAACTAGCAAACCCACTCTGGAAACTAAACTCAACTGAAAACAGCTGGTAAGATTTGCATATTTATACATTTGGATTGGATTTTATTTTTCTGTATCTGACTAATGTCTTTGGACATTTTACTCATCCTCGGTTAATCCTGTTGCTCAGTATTTATATTATTGGGTGCGTAGCTGTAGACGTAAAACTCGAGACTTGGACTTGACTCGACTTGACAGAGATTTGAAAGCAACCACACTGACCTATACAATCCTGGGTTTAACAGAACAGCAGGCCTATGGAAGCAAATAATGGTCTTAAGGATTTGAATCTTGTTTATAAGATTATAAGGTATATAATTGTGAAAATGAATCACTTGTGCATCTCGGTGTTGAAATATAGATACCACAGTATTTATATTATTTATGAAATATTTCACTTTGAAGGCCATCTTTTTGAATTTATGTGGTCTGATCTGTTCAGTCACACTAAAATTCAAGATTATGAAGTTGAAGTTGAACCTGAATGTAATCAGTCAGTCATTATTTGCTTCCGTAATAGCCACACATGATTTAACTATTAGGCTTGTTCAACATGAACATCACCAAAATACTTAAAAACTGCTCTTTTTGTCTCATTTGTAAATGAAAGTGGCACAAACCTCTGCTATTCATAAGCTCTCATCCAGTTTAGGGCAGCAACTAATGATGTTTATCATTATTAAATATAATCTCCTGATTTTCTCTTTGTTTGTGTAGTGCATAAAATGGCAGAAAACAGTGAAAAATGCACAAAATGCACGTTCCCAGAGGCTACAGTGATGTCTTCGCAGTGTTTGTTTTATCTGGCAAAACCCAAAGATATTCAATTTACGATGATGATGATGATGATGATGATGATGATGATGATAATGATGATGGAGAATAGAAGCAGGAACCAGTTTAAGTTTGGAATTTTTGCTTGATTAACATCTTAAACGAGTGATTGATTATCAAAATGATGTTGTTTATTGTTTCAGCTCTTCTCATCTCTGTGGCCACTGTTACTTATTACTGAAAGTGTGTGCACTTAGAGCTGTAATTCTGAGTTGTGTGGGATCTTACACAGATTGTGTGTATGTGTTAAACATAATGTTCCTTCTGGTTCATTGATCAAATGTTTGGAATTAAGTTTTTACAGGAAAGTAAGAAGGACATGTGCTTTCATTTTTTCCCAGGATTTCCTTGTAACTACCTGGGAATTTCCACTGGGGAATAATGAGCAATATTTAGTACTTGCAGCTGTAAAGCCTTTTTGCGCAAGATGGTCTGAATAATATCTCTCCACGTCAGGCTTTGGCCTATTTTTATATAAAGGCTCGACTCACCATCTCAAGTTGAACTTTGGCCAGTTTCACACACAGAGACGCCTGGTTTTGTTCCAGAGAGGCCATTATGGCCGACACACAGTAGTTTCATTTTAAGAAGAGGCACAGCTGTTCCAGTCTTTTCCATTCCTGTTTTTACCTGCAACTAAACTAATGTGGACAAACATTTCATGTTTATGTGCTGAAACCCTAAATATTGGTTAAAGGCTTCAGTTTCCTCAATATAAACGCTCTGAATGCCGGCTGAGCTTTCTGTAAGTTTCAGTGTATTGATGACACACTGGCTGTGTAAACATGAGATCTGTGACACCACAGCTTCTGTGTAATGAACTGATCAGTCACACTGGCAGTGTCGTGATATATGTCAATGTTAGGAAGCTGTGCATGACTAAATAACACATGTTTGGTCTAGACTGCCTGTGAACAAATGGATGAAGGAGGAAAGAGGGATCACATGTGTTTTGTTACTCATTTTGTTCTCCTCTATTGCAGCAACTTCGATTCACTGAAGAAAGAAAATGTCTATGACAACAACAAACTGGTAAGACGTGACATTCTGCATATATTGACCTCTGAATGTTTAAAATGTTTTTTGAGTTTCTCCTGACAAACTTATGTCTCTCAAATACACACAAGGTTTCAGTAAAGTACATTTCTCTCCTGATCCTCCAGTTAACAAATGTACTTGTTTTTAGCTCTGCTAGCCGCTCTACAGATAGCACTGTTTCAACAATTACTGGATGAAATATGAATATGATTTAAAGGTTTCCTATAAAGTTTTAGACCTCTATGAAGCTGTTTTTCTAGGAGTGGGTTCATTTTGTGTATCTCAGGTGATAAATTGTCAGTGGTTTCCAGCATTTTCGGTTATGAGTGAGATGTCTAAACAACTATAGGATGGATTGCCATGAAATGTGGTGCAAATATTAAAGGTCCAGTGTGTAGGACTTAGTGTCATGTAGGGGAGTAGTGAGAAACTACAGTGGCTGCATAATGCGTGAAAAACGCAAACAGCCCTATCCAGAGTTAGTGTTTGTTTTGTTCCATCTGGGCTACTGTAGAAACATGGCGGTTCAACATGGTGGACTCTATGGAAGGTGACCCATGGCGTCTGTTGATATAAAAGGTGAACTAACTATTAATGAAAATATTAGTCAATAGATCTTCTCAATGTTACACACTGGACCTTTAATGTTCCCCTCAGGATGAATTGTAATAATATTTTGTGATCCTCTGATTTTTCATTTAGCGCCATCACCAGGTCAAAATTGTAACTTGTCAAATACTTTGTTTTATGACCAAATTACTGCAAAATGAATGACGTTCCCTCCGCCTCAGCTGTACGTACTGGTTATTGCTTGTTGGCAAATATGTCTAAGAGTGTGAGCATGGTAAACATTATACCTACTAAACATGTCAACATGTTAGGATGCTGACATTAGCATTTAGCTCAAAACATTTTCAACTTCATTCTTGACCTTTTAGAAGTAGTATTTATGATAAATTAAACTCAAACGAAGGTCCACCTATGAGCTGTTTCCAGGGTTTTCAACCACACGTCACAATTTCCTAATAGTGGTGATGTCTACACTTGACCTAAGACGTCACCCTGGTCTGTGGGAAATTGTGACAGACATTTGTAATTATTTTCTGACATTTTATAGACTAAATGGTTAATAAATCAGTCCAAAAACCATTGATTGATTAATCTATAATGAAAGCACAGCCATAAATTGTTTCTACATGTCTGTTGGCTCTGGATATTGCTTCAGCACCACTTGATGTTGGGTAACAGGGAATTTTCTAAATCAAAAAGCGTTAGTGTTCAAACAAAGCTGAGAGGAGAAGTCATTGCCAAATACAAAGTGTTTCAATCTGGGCACTTTGACGTTGGCTAGTTTGTTGCATTCTTTACTTTCGATTTCTCCCGGGAGCTTCATTATTAGACTCTTTGGGACTGACAAAAGCTCAACATCACAAACTTTTGCTCTTTGCAGTTCAGAAGAATAAAAGCCTAATTTTGCAGAGATTATATGGCACTATTCAGGATCTTAACTGAAACAAAGCAGAGCACGTTGGTCAATAAAACCACAATAAGCTGTAGAGATTAAAGTGCCATAGGGCACAGCAAAGCAAACAGTGTTTTTATGGCTCCCTTGATCATCTGATTGCTGATTAAATTCTGCCTTTGGTGCTCGTTGGCCTGCCTCTGCTTGTTGTTTCTTTCTGCTTCCATGGAATTGCTGAATGTGAGTCTGGAAATTCCTGACTCCCAAACTACTCTCTTAACACATAAGGTGTAGATATAATCTGTGGTCAGAATTCTTCCATTTGCACAAAACCAATGTCCACATGGGTGGTATGGGCATCTAAAAGCAAATGTCAGGCACTTAAATAGACAATAAAAAATATTTCTTTTAAAAAAGGACCAATATCTATTGGCACTCTGGCTTTCCTAAATTCTCTCAAAAAAATCCTTAAAGAAGACCCTGGTAAAGCTAAAATCATAAAAAGAAAACACTCTATAATCTTTTTCCAACAGTCTATGCGACTGATCAAGCAGCAGAGGTCTTGTATGAAGTGTGCTAAAAAAGGGCTGCGCAATTAATTGAAATATTATCTAAATCGCAGTGTGGCCTAGTGCAATATCCAAATCGCAGAAGCTGCAGTTTTTTGATAATGGTAAAATGTGTGACAAATCAGCATTATAATGAAGTACTGTAGTTCTGTAGTGCTACCCTGGCCTATAAATCTTATTCTCCAAATGTAAGAAAACATGTTTGTTCATCACAATTTAATAGGTTTTTTTTTTGTTTTCAGTGAAAATAAAAATTGTAATGCAAAAGTTATCATTCCCACTAATTGTGAAACATATCATAATATCTGTCAAAATAATCACAATATGATTTTGTAGGGCTAGTTAAAATGGTCTCCAGGTTTTTCAGTGGCGTCTCACAAAGTCAGACTATCTGCTTTGTATTTGATTTATTGCTCCATGTCCATCTTTGGCCCCTTGATCTAGAGTCTAAAAAGCCATCCTGAGCTTCTCCTGTTTTGATGGATAAAGTCGATGTTATGTGCAGGCGTTCAAGGTTGCGGAGGAGGAGTTGGGAATTCCAGCTCTGTTGGACGCAGAAGACATGGTGGCTCTTAAGATTCCTGATCGCCTCAGTATCCTGACATACGTTTCACAGTACTACAACTACTTCCATGGACGCTCCCCGAGTGAGTATCAGTGTCTTACTGTGTGCGTCACTGCCTTTATCCCCTTCTTCCTGTCTCATCCGTTTATACAGATATATATTTATCTATGTGTTTGCTGCAGTTGGTGGTATGGCAGGAATAAAGCGCCCAGCTGAGGGCCCCACAGAGGAACCGTCCGGGAAGAAGAACCAGCCGGTGGCGTCCAAGGTGTTTCCCTCTTCAAAACCCGCCAGAGAGAACAGCCCTCCCCCCTCCTCCAACATCACAAGGCCCGCTCCTTCACCGAAGCAAACCAGAAATGCCACGCAGGTAATGTTTGCTGCCTGAATACTTCACAAAAGCATTTGTAAGTTATGAATCACATTTGAGATTCCTCGGCTATTTTGGAATTACTTCACTCACGAGAAATGTGGAAGTTTGTCAAGAAGAAAACTTTAAAGATGAACCCGAATAACTAAAAAGTTCTGTTGTTGTGTCTGTACCAAACTGCTATTACAAAATAAATACCCCACGTTGCCTCAGATCCGTTACAGCGAGTACGGTAATAAATGAGCTGTTCTGAATGAAGTTGTCATTCCCACCTCATGAACCCTCTCTCAAACCTTTCTTTTCTTCTTCCAGGATGAGAAATCCCATCCTACAGGCACCCTGAGTAACAAATGTGTGTCCTGTAACAAGCACGTTCACCTTGTGCAGCGACATCTAGTGGACGGGAAGCTTTATCACAGGAGCTGTGCGAAGTAAGGGCCCATGTAAATTAATTGAACCATAACTGATCCTTATAATCTATGGAGACTAAAGTGTGCCAGCAGAACGTTTGTAGATGTTTTAAGGTTTTAATTAAAATCAGTTAATTAATTGATGAATCTTAAAAAAAGCAATTATAAATTGATTAATTAAATTTTCATTTGAATAATGCATTACTAGATTCCTTCACCGATTTAGCATTGCACTCCAATAATATTTTTAGACTTACAATTAACAGTTTATTTAAAAAAAGAATAAAAAGTACCCTACATTACCCACAATGCAACACGGCCCTGAGAACGTGGGTGCCTTAAAATGCTAGTTTCAAGCCCCTAACCTCAACAAAAATTAGAAGCGGGCTACAGAGGTCTGGTGAGCTCACTTATTTCTAACTAAACACCTGCAGATTGTTTTATATTTTTAATATAAAGACCCAGTTTGACTCAAGTGACATCACTTGAGGCAGTTAATCAGATTTCACGCAGCTCCTTCTGAAGCCACAAAAGGCTTTACAGCTTTTCCATATATGTAAGCAGACTTTGATGTGTAAAATTGATAAAAAAGGCTTTTAACATTTAATTTTTCTTCCATTTACTTCATTATATTCTATATTATGGTTCATTTGTGTCCTGCTTTAACATTTACAATTTAAAGAATAACTTATTGCACTTCTGTGAGGTAAAAGTAATTCTGCTTCTGATTCAACAGAAAATCAACAAATTCTGACAACATCACATTCACACTGATCCGGGACATCTAAAAAATCAACATGCCTTTATGGAAAGTTTATTTGAAGTTTTATTCTTTCTGACCTCCACACACTGTGGAAATCCAAGAATTGCACACTGTCTCTCTCATCATCCAGGATTCATAAAACACTAGTTATACTAAGGGAGTGTATTTAAGCTAAGACTTGACCAACAAAAGCTCAACAGGCCAGCGGTTGAGCTCTGACTCTCCCTCTGAAGTGTGCAGGGTATAATTTCTATCTTGTACATTCTGTCTTTTCAGGTTGCTGTCGCCTGCAAACACAACTGCACCTCTTAGAGATTTACCCACAAACACTGCTGTTTCCAAATTCAGCCCTCTGCCAGACTCCACAAAAACCTACACAAATGCTCCCACTTATACCCCCTCCAGACTGGGACCAACATGGCTGACGGAGAAATCCAGCACCCCTCCCAGCACTTTTTCTACTCCATCTCCTTACCGGCCTGCTTCAAGTCTCTCTTCTGCTGCCAAAGAGAGTCAGACATCTTTATTCTCCAAACCCACAACTTCACAGACTACTGAATCTAACTTCACCACAACCACTTCCATCAACACCAGGCCCACTGCTGCTCCTCGTACCTCAACCACGGCGGCAAAGACGATGCAGTCCAAACTCAAGTTCTTCCAGTCGGACAACACCGCTAATGATGAAGAGAAAAAGACTACAACCACCAACATTGACATTAATAAAGGGCAGAATGTGACTGGTAAGGTCCAGCAGGGCGCAGCAGGTCAGGCTGTGACTGTTGTTGTGAATGTTGGTGGTACTGGCAGAAAGAGCTTGGACACAGGTGGGGAGAGAGCTAAAGCAGCTGGTGTAGGTGGAGATTCGGGAAAGGCGTGTGAGAATAATATGACTAAAGCATCTGCAGCAGCCTTCATCTCCAAAAAACTGGAGGTGAACAATAATAACAACAGTAAGCCATCGTGGACGACTGTATCGCTGAAGAAAACTGACAAGTAAGTACTCATGACTAGACTTTTTATTAACTTGCCTTTGCCTGACCTCTACTGGTGAATAATAGCATTTATTAACACTTCACATGTAATCAGACCCTCTCAAGTCGAGACTCCTAAGAGGGAGACAGAGGGTGTCAGAGGGAGAGTGAAGCTGAGAGCAGACCCCTCACTCCTCGCCGACCTGCAGACTCCGGACATCCCGAACGCTGCTCCGAGCCCGGCCAGCAGGAGCGGACTCAGAGCCAGAACCCCAGAGAGAGGCGGCTCAAAGCCTGGCAGTACATCACCCAACACCTCAGGTTAAACTCACACACTTTGATAGCAGTAGTTGTTTTCTGGTATAATGCCTGTTTGTGTGTGTATAACAGTTTTTTATGATGTTAGCAACAAGGTTTATTTCCGGTAAGGTGGTGCGAAGCTGCTGGGAAAACCCTGATTTGTTAGTGGTATAAATGGATGAGGAAATGGTGGTAGTACTTGTTTAGAAAATATAAACTAGGGCTGGGTGATTACAGTTAAAAAAAATCACAATATTAGTTTATTCTTTTTATTTATTTATTTATTTATATATATGTATATGTATATGTATGTATATGTGTATTATTAGTCGGGTATGAGGGATACGTATATGGTATGGTAGTAGGTCTAGGGGTAGTTAAGTATGTGTAGTTGGTAGAGGTAGTATATGTATGACTGTATGGTGTAGTGATAGTAATGTAGTGGTGATATGTAGTGGTAATATATGATAGTATATATGTAAATAGTATATAGTATATGTTATGTTATATAATTATGTACTGTAGTAGTATTGCTACTATAGTATATGAGGGTATATATTATTGGCTGGATAGTAGTATGTGGATAGTAGTGGTGGGTATTATGGTTGGAGAGTAGTATGGTGTGTGGGGCGTGAGTAGTTTATGGTATATGATAGCTGTAGTAGGTGTTAGTATTATATATTGTGTGTGGTAATATATGTGTTCCGCTCTTCAAACCACCAGAGGAAAGCCCTCCCCTCCTCCAACATCACAAGGCCCACTCCTTCACCAAGGCAAACCAGAAATGCCACCCAGGTGAAATCTGATTAACTGCCTCAAGTGATGTCACTTGAGTCACCCTGGGTCTAAAGACAACAAGTTTGAAAATATAAAAGAATCTGGAGGTGTTAAGTTAGAAAGAAGTGAGCTCACCAGACCTCTGTAGCCCGCTCCTCATATTTGCTTGAGGTTAGGGGCTTGAAACTAGCATAAGGCACCCAATTCTCAAGCCGTGTTGCATTGTGGGTAATGTAGGGTCATTTTAATTATTTTTTAAAATAAACTGTTAATTGTAAGTCTAAAAATATTATAAGCTATTAAGTGGCAAAACTGTTGTCACGACAGCTACAGTAGTTTTTACTCTCTGTATTTGTATGTTTCCTGCATTTCCACTGGCTGATCAGGCAAATTAGTCCGCTGATGTATGAAGAAGTGATGGCTGTTTTTACATGTCATGCGTGACTGTACAACAACAACGAAGAGTCAGTCAGTCTGTCGTGTACTTTCTTTTGTAACTCCATGTTAATGTGTCGAAGAACAATGAACAAAAAACAAACTGGTTTGGTGGCTGAAATAAAATGCTCTGAATACTCGACCAATCAGAAAGCCCCCAATGTTCCTTTACCTCTGGAAAGTACTACCCCGCAAGCAAGGATTTAATTTTGGGTACATTTAATTCCTGTGGTGGAAACGTACTGAGTTCCTCCAAAGGTTCCTAGTCCCTGGTGAGAGTTCCTGCAGTGGAAAAGTGGCTTTTGTTACACATACTGTTCACAAAGGTAAAGAATGAGTTTTACACACACATCTTTTGTAAAGGCTGGTTTTGGGAAAAAATACTGTTTGCATTGCGTGGGATTTTTCCTCAAAATGTGGGAAATTGATTCCTCAATGCCAACCTGAAATCAGCCTGTTCCTTCACCCTGTACATGAGAGTTACTGTTGGAAGAAACACAGCAGGATGCACTTAATGTGAACTTTAACATCGTTTGACCTCCTGTTGGTGGAAATCTCTTCATAACGAAGCAATAGAAATAGGAACTGACACTGGATAGTGGGTGGGACTGTGGTGTGATGAAGGAACTGCAGCTGAAACTGAAAAACACTCAATCTTTCTTTGATTTCTTTTTTCTCAACAGTATCAGAAAATCAGTCCCCTGCCGACTGGAGGTCAAAACTCAAATCCATCTCCAAAGAAACCAAGTAAGACTTATTTGATGTTAGTAACTAAACAGAACAAGTCATATTCTATTTCCATTTTCTGTTTCCTGTTATTTCCTTGCCCTTGCTGGCTCACTTCCTAATTTCATACCTCCAGCAGGGAGTATCTGTACGTGGGTGTGCTCACAGCACATCAACATCATCGAGCGTTAACTGTGTGAGCGCTTTTTTCCCCCGATGTCCTGTCCATCCATCCATCCTTTGATCCAGTCTTTCATCCATCTATCCAACCATCACTCCCACAGGAAGTCTGTACCTGCTGCTCCTCCAAATGGCTCGGCCATCATTTGTAGTCAGGGCTTTCAGTCTCTCCTCTTCCGCCACATGCATGTGAGCCCCAAATGGTGTCATGACTGAGTAGAGTCCTCCATGGTGCAACATATGCTCAGTGCTCTGAGTTCCTTTCCCCAGATGACCTTTCCTCCCACTCCCATGAATCAAAACTGGAGTGAGACAGAAAAGGGACGACTTGTAGGAGCAGATAAATTGCCATTAATTAAATTCTGTCTTTCTTTTTCTCGTTTCTGCTAATCCTCCATCCATCTGCAGACCGGCTGGTCCTTCACAGTCTTCCCCTAAACCCTGGGCTAATGGAGCTGGAAAGTCATACACTTCAGAGCTTTCTATTGGTCCTTCCCCCAGCCCGAGCATTTCTGTCACTCCAGCAGCACCAAAGGGTAACGTGGTCACCATAATTGTAACATTGTTATGTTTAAATATTATTTGGACAAAACAAAACCCCCTTCACATTGCTATCTTGTTCCTAATTTTCCTTATATGGACATGACAAGGTTTAAATGGTCTCCTTAAAGGTGAAAGTGAATAAAATATGATAGATATATGAATCATAAACATGAATAAGACCTTTCTGCGTTTCCTATTTCTTTTGTCTTTGTTCTTAAAACTCTTCTAAATTATTTTCTGCATTTTATCTCCTTCCTGTTTCAGGATTCCTGAATGGTCAGGAAGACCTAACTGCGAATGGTTCCAAGTCAGAGTTGAAGATTTCCAAGGTACTGAATCCAAAGTCATTTTAAATTGAATCCCTTTGAGTTTAATTTTTTTTTTCAGTCAAAATAGGCATTTAGAAGATGACACCCTGAGGCAGTACATGTTAATCATCCATATACTACTGCATAGTGCTGTAACTTCACTACAAACTCTACCTAAAGCATTTTAGCGTTAACGTTAACAAAGCTAGCTAGATAAGGTTGAATAGCAGTAATTAAATGTGTGCCAAAACTAAAATAATAGGAAAACTATGTAACTAATAAATAAAACGAGTTAATGAAAGATATTTACAGGAATAAAATATGTTTATTTACTCTTTTTTTTTTTTTTTTTTTACCAAAATTTTCACACACCATATTAATTATTTAACTAAACTATTATTTATTAATGTTTTACTCATCACATTTGGGGCCTCGCAGTAAGATGTAAGGATGTTTGGCATTTGTCCACCTTTTTTCCTGATCTTGTCTGCGTGTATGTGTGTTACATGTGCAGACTAAGCCGGACTACATTCAGAAAGAGGACATCATAAAGGAGCTGCAGGAGATTGAAGATAATTTGAACGAGTTAGAGAAGAGGGGAGTCGAGCTGGAGATGAGGCTCCGCAGCAGTGAAGAAGGTGAGATAAACACACACATACTGTATGAGCCTCCTATTGGGTCAGAGTCAGAAGAGGGAGGTTATTTAGGATTAACTGTGTGTGTTTGTGTGTCAGAGGGTGAAGACGACTCTCTAATGGATGAGCTCATGGTCGAGTGGTTCAACTTGATCAGGAACAAGCAGGTGGCCATGCGCCGGGAGTCTGAACTGGTCTACATGTGAGTACACACACACACACAC